AATACAGAGTGTTCTGCTTCAAGAAACTGAAATTGTTACAATTTATTTTTTATAAACATTCTGTATGAAAACCCAATTTTATTTATACCAAATCTTTATTTTTCCACAGATTTTAAAGATAACCCTATCGCGAATTTTTTTGCGAACCATTTCATTGCTAAACAATTTCAAGAGAACGGGAATAACTTGGCAACATCGCATCAAAATTTCGAAAATAAACTATGGTTATAAAGCTAAAAAAGTCAATCAGAATATATAAAAATATATAGGCTATTTTATCTGAAGAAACTAAGTTGTGTATTATAAACAGAATCTCCGTATAGTTGAAAATAATTTCAGTATATGATGGAATATTTTTGATCACTCGGTGTGTTATAATAATATTAATATAACGTTTGTCCCCACAACACCGAAAACACAAAATATTTGTCGACGCGTTTCGCCAACCTTCTAGACATATTTGTCTACATGACGCCAACATGGTTGGTGTTGTGGGGATAAACGTTATATCCTCGACGAACTGTATAACTTTAATTTAGACTTTTTTTACTTCTATTAATTAATGCGATATCCGGGAGGACGCGATTATTGACGCGTCCTGTATAACATTATCGATTTTTATTCTACAAAGACTGATTTATCTCATATTTTAGAAATGTTTTAGGAATATCGTGTAGGTGTTAAAACTCTACCCAGAATTTCTATAATCGTCCCCACCATCAATTTGATAACGTCGTGTCAAAATCGAATATTTTCCCAATGCACTAAAAAATCAAAAATTGTTCATAATTTTAAAAAAGGGAGATACAGGCGTTCCTAATAATTAAAGACCCATTCCAATAATCTAAAAAATTTTGGAAAATATGACTAAATCCGTTAATAATTTATTTAGAACTATTATCCAAAGAAAATGAATTTCAAAGAGATCATTTTATTACTTCTATTACCACTAGTTTGTTTTACAAAATTGCACCAATATTTTGAAATGCAGCCAATTTATACTATAGTGTTCTTATATCTTCGGAAAGCATTTGATTGCGTTTCGCCTCTGATTACAATGCGCAAATTATACTTCCACAACTTCCATCCCAGTAGTATGTGTAGTAGTATCTTATTTTAAAGAGTCAGTGTCAGATGAAAGTCGCGTTGTCTATGGAGTGTCTCTCTTCTTGGACTGATTCTATTTTTTTTTGTGTATAAATGATCTCTCTTAGTGCCTATCGACTGCAGATATTACTTTATATGGTGATGGTACCGTCTTAGGAAATACAGACCCATCTACTGATCTAGCTTTGCTCATTAATAATAAGATACTAGCTTAAGCAGGAGATTGGTTCTGCGCTAATAGCGTGCTTGAATAAAATAAAACGGTTACATTTTGACTGTGGTATTTTTATCTAGGGTCACTCATCTTCTTTACAAAGACAGCCGGCATTTGTTACGAGAAGGTTAAAAACAACAGACAAACTCATTTAAATCAAATTAACTTCTACGTGACATTCTTTCGATGTACACACATTATTGCACATAAGTAAACACTTGAGCTTCAGATTGCTATTACCTGGTGCTGAAGGTGTGTTACTTATGCTTCCGGTTTTTACTTTATAGCGGTTATTGTGATAAAGCGAAAGTCGTAAAATCAAATTTTATAATTTTGTAAAGAGCTTGATTTCTTGGATTGTACTTACAGCCTTCGACAATTTTTTTTTTATCAAATTAAGAACCCCACCTTTTAGCTTTGCTTGTACAGGGTCACTCATAAAATTAATGAATAAGTTCATTAATTTTATTGAATTACAGGCCAATTTCAAGTTGGATTTACAATTTCGCAAGTCCTCGTTGACAGCAGTCGCTAGGACGAATCATATCGCGAATCGCAAGAACTGTCATCGAAATTACTATAGAAACGGCACTTCCGATTTCGCAAATCCAACTTAAAATTACCCTCTAAGTTAAGAATTGCAAAACTGAATATGTACTTTGAAATATTGTAGACGTTTTGAAGTTATTGTAACCATGGTAAATTGTTAATTAAAATGTATCTGTTTATCAACCCCAAAAAAATGATTACGCCATCTCAAAATTTGTGCGAACAAATTTCACCTAAAATGTGCAAAATAATGATGACTTTTTACTTGTGATCCATCATTGCATTAATACTTTTTATTGATAAAATTGAGAACGAGTGATCCCATTTTCCCGAAAATATGAAAATATAAACGTTTTTATTTAATAAGAATTACAATAATGATATTCAGAAAATTTTGTCGATTGTAGCTTAATACTTAATAGTTTTGACCTCTGTTTCTACTAATTTCTACGTGACATTCTTCCGATGTATAAACATAAACAGTTTCAAGTTGTTTTTCTTATCGAGGATAAGCTAAGGACGTACAGTAATGGAGTCCGTCGGACAATTTGGTACTTCCATATTTTCTCGATATTTCATAATAGACAAGACCATAGTTAGGGGGAGGCTAGGGGATACTGTGCCTCCCCTATATCTAGACAAGTTATAATCAACCAAATGTGAATTACAAGATCGAAAATCAAAATAAAATGTAGTGTTTTATTCAATAAGCGGAAGTCAGCGCAATAAAAAGTCTGGACCGTCGGCTTTGTGATCCGGCTATTGCAATTCGTAGAAAACATCTTTTAGTTTAGTTTCTATTTCACTCTCACGTCTACAGGTTGATAAGTGTTATCGCCAACGGGCGGAATTGTGTTTCATACGCTAGATCCAGTGCTGTCGCGGCGATAGTTTGATTACAAATATATTTTTCTTTTGGACTATATAAACATAATATAACATTTCAAGATCACAAATCTGTGGTTCTGTGTTTGAAAAATTAAAAAGGGCATCGAGTATTGTTTTTTGAAGTGATATAGTAATATAGAAGTAGTTTTTTAACAAGATGTAAACACTCCTAGCGACGCACTGGCTACGACCTTGTGGACCAGATCAAAGCGTCCCCGCTACTCGCCGTAAAACACACCTTGCTTCAACTGGGGAATTGCATCCGTAAGATAAATTTCCGCCTACTGGTTATCGCTATTTGTCTTAAATTACAAGTAGACTGGACTCAAACATTTAAAGCGTTTATGGCTTCACACCAATTTGACTCCCATTATAATTCAATGGGCCGTCACAGCCTGATGTCTTAAACCCGCTCACCGATACCTACCTGAAAACACCTTTTCTGGTAAAAGCACAGGGCAGGACTGAGTTTTACATTTACCGACAACAAATATATGTTTTCGGATCACCGGCAAAATTTTTTGCTACAATATTTCGAAAAGTGTTTAAAAATAAATTGTTACAAAAATACTAATTAATTGGCCTATTGTTATTACTTTTTATTTATTTGTCACTATTTAGTGTAAGGCAATAATTTTTAAAAATTTTATTTATCTATGTATTTTTTTTTTTAAATTAAGCTCGATAAACCTGTTTTTATAATTTGTAAATAAATTTAGTTGTGTTCTTACACTTCTTTTCAATTAATATATGCAACTGCATATCTCTGCATATATTAATAAAGTTACTGCATATTTGCATAAATTTCATGCATATTACATGATCATATTTCTCAAAATTTTGCTGCATACTTTTCGCTCTCTAGTCATGTATTATTTTTAATATAACAGCAATATGAATGTACCCTCCGGATTTGAAAAAAAATTATTTGATTTATCAAAAAACTTAGTGGACCAGTTTTCTATGATTGCGATCGTATTTAGGAGTATTAAAGATTTTATGTTTTTTGCTTTCAGTATCTTAATAACATATTCAAATGTGCAGAATAATGATTAAATAATTAAGGCACGGAAGAAACGTTAAAAACAAAATTACTCTTAGTCCGGTCCTTCGCGTCTCGGCCGTCCCTGGCACGTGGCATTGTTTACATTTTACTAAGTTTTATGAAAGGTCGGCTGTAAAGTACTTTAAACGTCGAAGCCATAAACGCCTTAAATGTTTGAGTTCAGTCTACCATAAATGATTTTCAGTTCAGTCTTCAGTCGCACCTCTGATATTACATGCGGCAGACGTGATTAAATTGTTTCATTATTTTATTGATTATAAATCACTATTCAAGGATAACAATAATACAAAACTTTTATTATTAGTATTACAATGCATCTATCCAAACTGACAAACGCGTCCTTGCAAAAATGTGGATGATATCAACATAAAATTTTGTAATAGAAAAACTCACTTGTAACACACGGTTAGCACGTTTCTTTACCTTCCATTCATCCAATCCCATTTAATATACGTGTCTTTACAAAAATGTTGATGACGCCATCGCAAATTTGTGTAAAGAAAAATCTCAACTCGAAATTGCTGTATTGCTTCATTGTACTTTAGGCGCAAGAGAAATTCTGTGGAAACAACTTTCGACCATTTTTTTAAATGTATACAGTTAAAAAAGGCAGGGTCTCAAATGAAATACCTCGTATATTTGAAAATAATTTCAAATTGTGACCCTAAATGAGTCCAAGCTGCGTCAAAAAATATTTTGGGCAATTCACCGGAATGCACAATCTGCCGCCAACCTGTTGGGATATCCTGTATTTATTTATTTGAAGGTTACATTATCGATTCTGACCATTATGTTCTATTGGAAAGGTAAAATTGTCTTTGTTTTCGATTGAATTTACCTAAATAAAGTCTAGATTATAAATTTGGAAGACAAAGAAATTGAATGTATAAAGAAAGGAGCAGTGGCGTATTGAAAATATTAAATATTGCAAACTTTCTATATAGGACACCCTGTAGCTGTCATTTAGGCCTAGGACTCTGTTAACAGGCATTGTAACGATTATGTAGATGGACAAAAACGAGAATCCATAACTTTGTTGGTACGGACCTGTAGGTTCCGCAGGATTGTCGTTAACAAGAAAAGCAAACATTCATTGTAGCAAATGAGGCGAAGCTGTTTCTTGTTGTCCTTGCAAGCGGTCATTATAAATTAATTCAAATAGACCACTACAGCGGCAGTTAAGTGAGCGTCGCGGTAGAACACCTATTATAAGCATGCTTATCCGTCTGTTTTGTGCGGTGTTAAGTTATTCCGCTGTATTATTGCGGGCAAGTGCTGACAATAATAGCAAGTTTGAAGTCGCTTACGAATGGAATTACATCAACTATACCTGGCCCTCCGCCGAAGCCATGTCCTCGGCCGGCTACGTCCCTGGAGAAGACGTGATCGCGGGTATTAAAATTTACAAAAACGTCATTTACTTGGCCCTTCCGAGAATAAAACCAAGTTCAAGAGTAACTCTAGCTTCCATCCCTATCGACGCAAATAAAGAAAATCCACTTCTGTCACCGTTTCCCAGCTGGGAAATGAATTCGGGATCAACTTGTGATGCCATTCAGAATGTCTTGAGCATGGAAATTGATAAAGACGGCATTATGTGGGTTTTGGATGCTCGAAGAGTTGACAATAATACCGATTGTCCACCGAAAATCATTTTATTAGATTTGAACGATAAGGGAAAAATCGTCAACGATTTCCTAGTGCCAGACGAGTTGTGTCCCCGTAATCGCGGCTGCTTCCTCAACGACATCGTCGTCGACGGGGATTACGCTTACATCTCGGACACGACTTCTTCGGATCCTGGAATTTTCGTTTACCACAGGGACTCGAACTCGGCGTGGAAGGCGAGAGACAAGAGCATGTTTGGCGATCCTAATGCGGTGAGGTTTGAGGCGCAAGGTGTGGAAAATGAAAAACCGTCACACATTAATGGCATTGCACTGTGCTGTGGAGAGACGGAGAGAACGTTCTTTTTTATACCTCAAACGTCATTACACGTTTTCTCTATAAGTAATTCAATTTTGAAAAATCGATCGATTGCAACTGGCAGCAATTTACATAATTTTATTACCGACGAAGGGACGAAACAGGGACAGTCGGGAGGAATGATGTGTGACACCGCGAGTAATATCTACTACGGAATACTGCCGTTAAATGCTGTGGGTAAATGGAACATTAAAAAGCCGCTACTTACCGCCGAGATTGTCGAGAAAAATGATGAGATTATTAGATGGCCTGACAGTTTCTCGATATACAAGGATTATTTGTACTTGATTACCAACAGTATTTCGAAATTTTCGAAAAGTGGGATTGACAAAAGTGAAATTAATTTTAGAATAATCAAACTTAAAACGGACACTCGAAGCTATATTTATTGCTAAATAAAATATTTTCCTACCTTATTGCACGATTTGTGCTTGTACACATGTGAATAAAGATTCTTGGAAATTTTCGAATCACCAAGAGTTTAAGATAGTTTATTTAGTTTTTTACCTCCAGACTGAAAAATGAGAGTTTTCTTATAATTTATTATATTTAATTTTATAACTACCACTTTCGAATTCAGTAAAGTTAGAATAAACAAGAAAAAATATTAGTTTAAGGTTTTATTTTAATGCCACTACCAACAGCGATTTCGTTGCTGGGCTCAAAATGGGGTAATCTCATTTTTTAAAACTAGAATTTTCTTATTAATTTATTTTCACTCTACCACAGGTAAAAATGTATGTAATTTCTTTAAATATCACATTTTGAATGTAGTTTTAACGTATCATAAAATCATTCATGAAATTTAAATTTTATGGAATATAACTACTTGTTATCAGTACAGTGACAATGTGTTTTTTGTTATTGTTACCTTTTATCAGGAATTTAAAATTGTATTGTTCGTATACAAAATTGTCACGAGGCTAATAAAACTGGTTTAATGCTTTTCAGTAAGGTTAACTAAAACATTTCGAAATTACCTAAGTCATAATTTTTTTGGGGGAACAGATTACAGTTATACTAGCTTCAGGATAAGTTAAACTCAAAGTAAAATTTCAAATTTGTGATGCGATGGAACTGGAAAACCTGCACTTTCAAGTGTTCTGTAAGTTCTGGAACACAAAGAAAACAAAATTAACCCTTCATTACATTTGCCTTATCACAGTAATTCTCTGTAGCCCGACAAATAAAATATTAAGCCTAATAACCTCTTAAAAAATGTGTCCATAGAACTCCCCGGTCCCTTAAATACAATCGAATAAGTTTTTTCGTGAAACTACAAAATTTGATTTTATATATTTTGTGGTAAATTATAAGTAAAAAAAGCGTCTAAGTTTAGACAGAAGTTCACTCGTCCCTGAAATACATACGAACAAATAGAGCTTCTTCGAAAGATGATAAAATTTACTTTTGCGAATCATATTTTTTTAAGATTAATAAAATAAATACTTCTATGTGTGGATAATTAAAGTACAGGTAAAGAAGCATGCTGTACGTAACTTTCAAGTGAGTTTTTCTATTACAAAATTTTATGATCACGTCATCAATATCTTAGGAAGGATACGTTACACAAAAATCAATTTGATAAGTGCAGTGTAATACTAATAATAACAGTATTGTATCCCAAATTTTCGGGAAAATGGAGTGACATGTTTCTAATTTAATCGATAAATAAATGGACTCATTGATACACCCTATATAAGTAATTCTAAAAAATATGGATACAGTGATAAATCACAAGTATAGACTCATCATATTTGATGTATTTTCGATAAAATTTATTCCTCAAAATTTTTATATGACGTCATAATTTTTTTAGGGGATAAACAAATGTATTTTGTTTAAAAATTTACCATCTTTATGATAACTTTAAAACGTCTGCAAGATTTCAAACCTTCGGTTTTGCAGATTCAAAATTAAATTGTAAAATGTTATAAAATTGCTAAGATAAGACTGATTTTGGAAAATGACATACCCTCTAAGAAAATGAAGGGTGGGTGGAAATATTTAGAAAATTTTGTGTTTTGTTTAGTTAGTACTCAAAATAATGGCTCTAAGAAAATAGAGGACGGGTGGGCGGGGCTGGTACTTGCTAAGATAAGACTGATTTTGGCGAATGATATACCCTCTAAGAAAATAGGTACAATTTGCTAAAGTGAGTCATATCTTAACAAATACTAGTCTCGCCCATCCGCCCTCTATTTTCTTAGACGGTATTTCATTGGCCATAATGAGTCTTATCTTAGCAAGTACTTGTCCCGCCCACCCACCCTTTATTTTCTTGGAAGGTATGTCATTTTCTAAAATCACTCTTATCTTAACTTGTACTAGCCCCGCCCACCCACCCTGTAGTTTCTTAGAGGGTGTCATTTGGCAAAATCAGTCTTTTCCTAGCAAGTGCCAGCCCCGCCCACCCGTCCCCTATTTTCTTAGAGGGTGTTTTATTTGCTAGTACTTGCTATGATAAGACAGATTTTGGCAAATGGAAAGCTGTTTAAGAAAATAAAGAGTAGATGGGCGGAACCAGTAATTGATAAAAGTAATTGATAAAAATAAAACTGATTCTGGCACATGATTTACTCTCTAAGCAAAAAGTGGGCGGGTGGGCGGTACCAGTACTTGCTAAGATAAAATTGATTTTGGCAAATTATAGACCGTTTAAAAAAAAGAGGGTCATAATTGCCTTACAGTAATTCTCTGTAGCCCGAAAAATAAAAATATTAATAACCTATAATAATCTGTTTTAAAAAATTGGTCCCCGGCCCCTAAAATACAATGGAACAAATCCAGTTTTTTCGAAAAACTACAAAATTTGATTTTACTATTTTTTTTTTGTGGTAGCCCCTATAAGTAAAACAACAAATAGAGCTTTTTCGAAAAATGATAAAATTTAATGTTGCGGGTCATAATTTTTTAAGAGTAATAATAGTATATTATTAGCCAAGGTTGCAGAGCCAAGCATTCTAGACCGAGCGCAAATTAGAACCCGAGACGCGCAGCGTCGAGGGCTCTGAAGCGCGAGGTCTAGAAGTGGCTTTGCAACCGTGGTTAATATACTATTTTTTTCACTAGCAGAAACCATAATACAATAAACTGAAAAAATAAACGTTCAATTTTTTGACGCAACATGATTTTGTTTTGATTTCTAATCAAACTTAATCTAAATCTTCAACACAAAGAAAACCGTTTATACTTGTCGCCGAGTTAATCATTTTATCTTCTACCGTCTACCAACTACCATGCGTATACTCAAGTAATGTTTGTAGCACACATTTGTTCATTTTTTAAGAAATAATCACATCAAACATTGCGTACATAACCTCAATTTTTCTTTTTGAACCGGTGGTCGCAAAAGTTGAATTTGCTCCCTCTAAATGAGTCGACATTTGCATGCGTCATGGCTGCTAGTGAAAAAAATAAATACTTATATGTGTGGATTATTAAAGCACAGGTAAAGAAGCATGCTGCACGTAAGTTTCGAGTAAGTTTTTCCATAACAAAATTTTATGAAGACCTCATCAATATTTTAGGAAGGACACGTTACACATATCTCAATTTGATAAGTGTAGTGTAATACTTATAATAACAGTATTGCATTCTCAAATTTTTGGGAAAATGGAATGAACTGTTTCTGGTTTAATCGATAAATAAATTGACTCATTGATACACCCTGTATAAGCAATTCTAAAAAATATGGATACAGTGATAATTCACAAGTATAGACTCATCATATTTGATACATTTTCGATTGGATGTTTCGGGAAAAAACACACGGACTCATAAACTACGCGTATAGGATTATGTTATTTTGTAAAATTTAAAACCCATGTACTAAAATTTTGGGCTGACATTGTTGGTGTAAATGATTGGACAAAGTTTGGCTAGCGTTTCACTATCAACAAGATATTCATAAGACATATATAAAATTTGGCAACAATTCGGCCAGTAGTTTCGAAGATTATCTATCTGAGAAAAATCGACACAGACGCGGACAGGCAGACGGTAACGGGAGACCTATGTTTTTATACTCTAGGGCTCATGACACATCGAGAAAATATGAAAGTAGCCCGTCTCCTGATGGATTCGATTACAGTACTTCCTTAGCTTACGCTCGAGAAGTTAAAACATTCGATAAGGGTGGGATTAGAACCCACACGGGTGGTAGAGAGCACAAATTCGATAATGTTTGTAAAGTAAGTAATTGTGATAAAAATAAAAGCGGATTCATAAACCCCGAGTACTGGAGTATATGGTTCCATAAAATTTACCCCACTACCCACAATGATGAGCGGGCGTGATCAATTTGTTCGTGGGGATGATTAGAAAAATTTTGGATTTTCTCAAATCACACATAAAATTTGAGAACAGACAGACGGAAACGGGAAACGTAATTTTCTATACTCCAGAAAATATGAAAGTAGCCATTCGCCGAATACAATTATTATTTCATAACATTTTTATAAACAGCTTTATTATTTTTTTCGGTGACGGTTATTTTTAGGAAAATTTATGTTCATGTTTTCACCACTGCGTTTCATAACTCGTAGAATACTAAAAGGGAACTTTCCCGTTTCCGACTGTTGTCTGTTGGCGATTACACACATAAGTTTCAAAATGTCTGAAATTGCAGGCGTACTTTACGATTAACTTTGGAAAGTTAGCTTGAAATTTACATATAATTTTTTTTCTATTTGCGTTTCAATAATGCATCTATATTTTAGAAAATAATAAGCGCATAAAGTGAAAATATACAACTTATCTCTAAAACCTGCAGGAAGAACTTTGATTGAAGTCTTGGTAAAATGCTAACAATAATAATTTAAGGATTATAAAACATTCGACTAAAACTTATTATTATTTTCACCTTTTGAGTGAGAGCTAGGAAAGTTTTGTACTAATTTCATGTTTTCTCGACGTTCCTTTACTCTTAGAATGTAACAAAGTAAAATCCACTGTTTCCGCTTGTCTGTCGCCTGTTGGAAAGTTTATTACAAAATCTTCAAAACTACTGGATTGATCGCTGTGAAAGTTTAGATATGTTTGAAAAATATCGTGTGGATGGTAAAACGCTAACCAAATTTTGTTTCATCATCCCCGCCAATAGTTTGATGACGTCATCTTAATATTTTGCAAAGTCAATCTTTTATTAAATACTGCATCTTGCTCTATTTTCTGTTCTCTTTCTTTCAATGTAACGGTGAAGAAAGAAAACAAAAAACAATGAGATCCAGTAATAAAATACAGTCTGTTCTATTTGAAAAAAATGAAATATCCATGTTTGAAATCATTCTGGATATGAAGACGTAACTTTATTGATACTTTAATTTCTAAAATAAACTACGGTTACAAGACCTAACAAGAGATCAATCAGAATATACAAAAATATGTAGCATATTCCGTTTAAAACAACTAAGTTGTGTGTTACGCTTCAAAACACAACACTCCGTATAGTTGAAAATAATTTTGGTATATGGTCCTCATAGAACTATACAACTATAGTCTTAACCCTTTGACTTTTTTTCTATTTCTAATAATTAATGAGGTGTTGAAGAGAGCACGCTTAGTGATTCACCCGGTATATGGTGTGCTTTAAAGTCGAGGGAAGTTCTATCCAAAAAATTTCAGAGCAATTTTTTCGATTTTGAAAACGCTGTATTCACGGCAATTTGATTAATAAAGTCATATCCAGTCCCTGGTTAGCATTTAATTTTTAGCCCAACTGTAGTGAACTTACTTATTACGCCAATGTTTTATGACTATTTTATAATGTGCTATGTTGTTTAACTGTCGGAAAACAATTTATCGCCAAATTTATAAATTTAAATTGTCAAACATTGTGAAAAAACAAGTCCATGTGATTGCAAATTAAAAAAAATGTTTTAATGTTATTAGATCGAACTTCCTTCCCCGCTAAAGTACAATTCAATAAATCCAGTTATTTATAAAAACAATATAGATGATACCAATTGTGGCGTAACAAAAAAAGCAGTGCGAAAATCTGGTCGCACAAAATAATAAGTCAAGACGGGTTCATAGACCACAAGTGCACGATTGTGTTATTTTATTAAATTTGAATACAATTTACTATAAAATAATTCTAGGTGATGTCATCGACTTGTTGGTGGGGATAATCAGGCACAGACGATAGACAGACGGAAACAGTAGATATATTCATAGCTTGTGCCATTCTCCGGATGGGCTTAATTACAATACTGCCTTAGCTTACGCTCGGGAAGTAAAAATATAATATGACTTTATTACTGTACACTAGTTTGTACCTTCGGAGTAGATACATATATCATAGTCTAAACTTATAAGATAAGCCTGCATTCTATTGTTAATTTTTGTTTGTTTTCTACGAAAGTTCCGATAACGGAAAACAAACAACCCGACAGTAATTTGTAAAAACATAATTTGTGTAAAATATATTCGTTAAAGCATCTGCGAGTGTTTGTCGCTTCGCAATTAATATATTATATGATTCAGAAGCTCTGTGTATAAAACATGAACCGTAAAATTTTATTTCACATTAAAACGTGACACAATGTCAAAAACATAAAAATTATCGTTGATGAAATTTTATTAAATCAAACACAGAAATGATTATTCTGATGTATTTGCTTCCATGAATTTTAAACATATTAAAGCGAAATGATGAAACGAAATTTTTGCTACATTAATGTATTTAATTTTTCAAAAGTCGGCACTGTGAAAGGTTACAGGTCTCTCGAGGTATTCATCAAATATATAAATTAATGTTTTAATTAAAGCATTAGCGCTTGTCTTTTTTATCTTACTTCCTATAACAGCTTTGTAGCGCTTTTATTTCTTTAAATAATTAAAACTCACATTGTGTGCGCCGGGTTCCGATTTCTATCAAGAATGTAAAAAGGGGTTGTTTGGCGGCAGACGACAATTTTCTCGTTTAATTACGGGTTTAATTTGTACTCCCTATTGACAAATACTCGGCGTCATAAGAAGGCAAGTTGATTTTATTTACTCCACCGCCCCGACATGGAACACCAACATCTTGTAAGAGAAATCCCGCAGTCGTTGGCCAAACACTACTTTTCTTTTCCAGGACAATTCAATTATTTACTTTTTTGTTTTGTTTTCTTCTCGATTTCTTTATGTGTATTAGTGCAACGACTAAATAAGAGGAGATATAAGATACACTGTTTGAAACGTAGCCCTTGCTACCACCGAGTTAATGTGTACAAAGTTCCATCACCAGGTCATTAGATTTGTAATGTAGTGTGGCCTAAACAATTCCATTAGTTCCAGTACATGAAGCAAGGGCTAACGGATCTGTCAGCGAAACGAGCCTGCTGGCGTCCACTGCCTAAACTAAGGTCTGATTGAAATTGTGTTGGTTTCCCTTAAATAAATATATACATAAGGCTTGAATTATATCCAAAATGCATATTTTGTAAAACGCGGTGTATTTAGCGAACCGAGTATATTCAAGGAAGGCTATTTAAATTTTAACTTGCCGCTTAAACAACATGCAAACAAGACACTTTTGACATTTTTCAACATTTCTTTGAATATTTTTTGATCACTTGTATTAAGTATATTCTTATATATTCATAATAAGAGTTCTAATTTGTGTAAGTTTTAATAGCATCAAATTTACTTAGTCCGAAATCAGTTAAAGTTGCATCATATTTTTGCATCTATGTGTATCTATTTTATCGAACAAATTCATAGCACTTGTGCACAATTACAAAAACTGTTCTACTTAACTCTTCTGAAAATATGCTATTTGAAAAAGGAAGTTGATGTCATTTCTGAAAAGCAGAAGCATTGTGTCATTGAAATTACACTGACAATATTTCATGGTGTTAATTTTTGATTGCAAATTTCAGATCTCTGTTGTAATCGACTCCGTCGGCCGACCCTCTATTTTACGTTTTCTCGATCTTTTATGACCCCTATGTCTGTTTGCCGTATGTCCGGATTTTTATTAGACAGATAATCTCCGAAACTACTGGACCGATTGTTGTAAAATTGTGTACGTATGTTAACAATATCATGTAGATGGTAAAACGCTAACCAACATTTTTCTACTTATCAAGAGCGTGATGTCAACCCCTCAAATTTTTTTAAAGTAAGTAGGGTTTAAGTTTTATAAAATAACAAACTGCTGAACTTGTTCTTTATGAATCCGCCCTCAGATTTTTCCCAAGGCATCCAAATGTTCGCAAAAAAATCGCACTATACTTATTATGCTCGTATAAGCGCAGAGTGTACGTAGACTTGTACGTTGTCTGTCCGGTCTGTTGCATTATAAGAGAAGTATGCAACCAATAATTCAGCTCGAAAGATAGTTTTACTAGATTTTCAAAACTAACCAATGGTAGGGTTTTTATAATCACCTTGAGAAAAAAAAAAATAAATGAGAAATTACTCAAGAAAGTCAGCACTGAACTTTTTTTGCGGACGTGTTACAGTACGGCCAATGCGCTCAGTTTACGTGTCTAAAGTATGGCTACGGTACGACCTTGGACACATCTTCTTTTCCGCAATTGTCAAAATGACATTGGCAATGTCAAAGCAATCATGGATTAAGCATTTCATTTTAAATATAGTTAGTATCAAATGGTACAAAGTATTAGTATTTTGGGTTGCGTAGAAATAATTTTCAGAATTTATTTTCTCGTGACTAACCCTGTATCTACATATCATTAAAAGTAACGTTAATATTACAAAAAACAAGGATTATATTTCGTGTCCAGTCCTCAATATCACTTAATGAAAACAACGTAGTCCGCCTCTGGTAGGCCCACTGCGCACCTTATTTAAAGAAGAAAGCCCTTCTCCGTCTCAGCCGCCGCCGCGTTGCATTTCATTCGTCTTTTGGTGCGCACACGGCACGGCTGATTTCCAGCGTGGTAAGATACTTAATCCATTTGCTAGATCTCTGCAGGCAATGGGCAAATCCAGGAAACGTCGACACGACTCCCCGAATTACATCTCCCGGCAGGCGTTATTGGAACGGCTGGAACAACTTGAACGGACAATTACGGGCGCCCAGCGCGGGAGCTCGCGCTCTTATTCGCGCTCGCCCCAGTCCTCCCGTACTCCATCCCGTCACCGAGACTGTCTTTCTCCGAGCAGAAAGAAGTCTCGTAGGGAAAGACGCAGTACCGAACGGCGTTTTCCAAGCCGACGTGAAGGTCGCAGCCCGAGCGCTGTGACTTCACACCACAGCCGGGATCGTGTTTCGCACGACACGGCGGCGGCTACGGCTGCTGAGTCACCCACCAGCGGCGGCGTTATCTCCGAGACCGACGAGAACGAAATTGCACCCAACCAGCCGAACTTATCGCCTCCACTAGTTATACACAATGACGTCGTTCTTTCAGACGACACCTTGAAAATTTTGGACGACGACCCCTCTGACAAAAAAGGGGCTCGTTTTAGTTTACATCCCGCTTTGTCTAGTCGCTGGGCCCACATTACAACACATGGTCTCCCCAACGACGAGCTGTGCCTCATACAGCAGCGCCAGGCACTCCCTCATGAGGCCGAATTTTTGCAGCCTCCACAGGCAAACCCCGAGGTTAAATCCATAATGCCACCCACATATTGCACCCGGGATGCTTCCCACGCCAGTTACCAGTCGCAACTGGGCGTAGGGCTAGCAGCTCTCGGTCAGGCAATGAATAGTCTGCTGGAGCACCAAAGCGCCAATCAAGAAGTACTGGCCCATCTTGCAGATGCGGGACGTATGTTGTGCAATTTGTTTCACCAGGTTTCCACAACCAGACGCACTCTGCTCTACCCGCTGCTGAACAAACAGAGCAAGAGTTTGGCGGAACAAACCCAGCCCGGTTCGCTTCTCTTCGGGCCCGATTTTGGGGACCAAATAAAGTCTGTGAAGTCTTTGGAAAGAGCTGCCAAAGACATCCGGCCTTCTTACCAAGGCCATAATAAACCAACCCCAAAAAGAAGAGGGGGGGGAGTAGGTAAACAGCCAAGCCGCAATTTAAACCGAGCTCGCCCGTCCACCTACGCGAGGGGGGAGGAGCAATTCAAAGGGCAGACCTCGCGGAAGAGCGACCCCACAAAATACCAGTACCGGAGGAGACGTTAGAGGTAAGGTTTGCAGGTAGATTGTCTCATTTTTACACCTCATGGGAAAAAATAACCACGAATACCACAATATTGTCTTGGATACGAGGTTACAGAATCCCCTTTAGAGCGAAACCCAGTCAGGCGGTTCAACCGACTGTCCCCAAGTGGTCGAACGCAGAATTCAGACAATTGAAGGCGGCGGTAGCAGACCTGCTGCGCTCAGGGGCAATCGTTAAATGCACACCTCGTCCAGACCAATTTATTTCGCCCTTTTTTCTCGCCAGTAAACCAAATGGTAAAAAGCGGTTTATACTAAACTTAAAACGCCTGAACAGTTACCTTGCACCTGACCATTTTCAAATGGAAGATTACAGAACTGTTATTCGTTTAATAAGGTCCGGAACTTACATGACGTGTATAGATCTAAAGGACGCTTATTTCCTAATCTCCATCACCAGTCGCCATCGACGGTTCTTGCGATTTCTTTTTAATGACCAGCTGTACGAATTTACTTGTATGCCGTTCGGCTTATCGGTGGCCCCCCTTTGCTTTACAAAAATCATGAAACCAGTAGTCTCAGCGTTACGCTCTTCGGGCGTCCTCTGTGTCAATTACTTGGACGATTTCATGATTTTAAGCGATTCTTTCACAGAATGTACCAGGCAAACCACTCGTACAGCTAACCTACTGAACTCGTTAGGGTTTATAATCAACCGGGAGAAAAGCAACCTACACCCCAACACATACTGTCGTTATTTAGGGTTTTGCTTCAATAGCCTAAGTCTAAAACTCGAATTGCCGGTGGATAAAAAACACAACATCAGAAAATGGGCACTATATTTCCAAGATAAACCAGGTTGCAAAATTCGATTATTTGCTAAATTCATCGGTATCTTAGTAGCGGCTTGTCCAGCTGTCGAGTATGGTTGGCTGTATACCAAATCCTTCGAACGCCACAAATTCCTCGCTCTATTGGCAAACAACGGTAATTATGAGGCGATGATGGTCTTACCGCAAAGTTTAAACGAGGATCTACTATGGTGGGAGAGAAACATTTCCTCTGCCTCAAACAGCCTGGAACAGGGACCCTTTGCTGTGGAAATTTTTACCGATGCGTCCTTGACTGGCTGGGGCGCCTATTGCAACAAAGAAAAAACGCATGGCTACTGGTCGGCTGCGGATCGCTCCCACCACATTAATTATTTGGAACTGCAGGCGATATTTTATGGCTTAAAATCGTTTGCTAAAACTCGCTCCAAATGTAGAATCTTAATTAGGTGCGATAACACAACCGCAATTTCCTACATTAACAGAATGGGGAGCATTCAACATCCACAACTGAATGCCCTAACTAGAGACATATGGCAGTGGTGCGAATCACGGCAATTACACTTATTTGCTTCTTATATCAGCTCGCAGAATAACTTCGAAGCAGATCGAGAGTCTCGTCAGCTACCACTCGACACAGAGTGGACTCTTTCAGACTCTGCTTTTAGTCGCATCGTATCCACATTTGGCTCCCCGACGATTGATTTATTCGCATCCAAATTAAATCATAAATGCAGGCGATACGTCTCTTGGCTGAGGGATCCAGACTCGGTAGCAGTGGATGCCTTTACACTTAGTTGGAGCGACCTCTATTTTTACGCCTTTCCTCCGTTTAACCTAATTCTGCGAACACTCAACAAAATCGTCCACGACAATGCTGTTGGTATTCTGGTGGTTCCATGGTGGCCAACTCAACCATGGTTCCCACTTTTTGTACAATTGTTGGTGCAAGACACCATAACTTTCGAACCTGACCCAAACTTATTGCTATCTCCATTTAGGGAGCACCATCCACTAGCCAAGACCCTTACCCTGGCTGCCGGACTATTATCGGGGAAGCGTACCGCAGGAAAAACCTCCCTTCCAAAGCCATCTCTATAATGATGGCGTCGCTGTCCGAGAACACCCTCAAACAATACAACACAACATTTCGTCTTTGGTGGCGTTTCTGCTTCCAGACAGGTATTTCGGTATACGAAGCTACTACGGAGGAACTCATTCGGTTTCTCCACAACATATTCGAAACGGCCAACCTAAAATACGGCTCCTTTAATTCGCATCGCTCGGCGCTTTCACTGATTTTAGAGCCTTCTGTTACGGACAACCCAATCTTGAACCGTTTCATGAAAGGCTTATCAAAGCTACGACCAGCAGCACCCCGATATAACGCTACCTGGGACCCGAACTCTCTTCTCCAATATGCGGAGCGCTTGCCTAACCCCCTTACACTACAGGAGCTTTCCCGGAAGCTGATAACCCTCTTGTGCCTGATTACGGGCCACAGATTGCAGACAATCGCAAAAATCAAGCTCTCCAACTTCATTTACGGAGAAGACGCAATCCAAATCTTGATAGCCGATCCCATCAAAACCTCGGGTAGAAACCAGTTACAACCCACACTCCATATACCATTTTTCAAAGAAAAGCGATTCCTATGCTGTGCATCCGCTCTAACGGAATACATTGACCGGACATCATACCTGCGTCATGGACAGGACACCTTATTCCTATCCTACAGGCGCCCACATCTGGTGGCTAGCAAACAAACGCTTAGCCGCTGGGTAAAAGAATTTTTACAGGCCGCAGGCATCGACACTTCCGTTTTCAAACCACATTCTACCCGCCATAGCTCAACATCCGCAGCACTGAGAAACGGCATCGCCGTCGATGTAATATGCAAAACTGCAGGCTGGTCGCAGAGAACTACAACATTCGCGAAGTTCTACAACAGGCCACTCGTTCCTCCTAACGAATTCGCAAGAGCAGTCTGCAACGTTTCGCACAGTAGACACGCTGATCTACCTTAGGCTTAAGGATTTTCTTTTAGTTATTATTATCATTCTTTAATAAACTTTCAGTATTATCCCTGCCTTTTACCGCAACTGCAACATTTCTCTAAACATCTACGTTGTTTTCATTAAGTGATATTGAGGACTGGACACGAAATATAATTAACGATCAAACGAACTTACCTAGTGAAGTTCGATCGTAATTATATGAGTTGTCCAGTCCGAAGATATCACTTCCCTCCCGAACCATCGTCGGCCCTTCCCACAGTTGCAGTTGCTGCCCCGCGAAGGCTCCTTTAAACAAATGAAATGCAACGCGGCGGCGGCTGAGACGGAGAAGGGCTTTCTTCTTTAAATAAGGTGCGCAGTGGGCCTACCAGAGGCGGACTACGTTGTTTTCATTAAGTGATATCTTCGGACTGGACAACTCATATAATTACGATCGAACTTCACTAGGTAAGTTCGTTTGATCGTTAATTATATTTAACTTTTAGCACCTACCGATCACTCTATTGATAGCTGACAAAAACAAATTAACCAGTAAGACGGTGCATATAATTAGATCCAAATTTACCCGAAAAACATGTTCTCCGCTCAATTTATTCGCATCACAAAATTTGTAAACACAACAAAGTAAAAGTTACGATTAACGTTCGATAGAAACTACTTCTTGTAGTATACGGCAATAGAGGGAGACTGGAAGGAGTCACGTCCGACCGTAAATGAATTACATACACACTACAGATTGTAGAAAACCCAATGTTGGGGAGGGCGTAAAAGCTAAAATGCCCCACAGGTATTGCAAAATAAATTAAGCGACCTTTGGGAAAAAGCGAACTAGGGGCGAGTCTTATAGTCACACAGTAAAGATATTACTACAGGATAAAATGAAATGTGAGTATCCAAGTTACAGGTATATTCTGAAAGGAGATAACAACACACGCTGGTTAATTGGATTTGCTTCGCACAAATTATGCATAGCATGCATTGTATTTAAAGCTGAACATTGAGCACGATTTGGAAAAAAATTGTTATATTTGTACTTTTCATTAGATAATTATTATAATTAAAAACATAGCATTTTTAGTGTCCAAGCGATAGTTATCTGGAGGAAGCAGATATTTTAAAACAGTCACGTTCACAATATTTGATTTTAGCAACGAGAAAATTAACTTTAGAAGTAAGCATTTGTGTAAATTGTACTGTGGGTGGAATTGAATTGTAAATATGAATTTACAGCTTCACTACTGCTCTGTATACGAATTTTTATTTTGCTTTTTTATATTATGTATATTTCGTTATGTGCCTTTGTGTTACGAAACAAAAAACACGCAAAATAAATACAAAATGTAATCAAGTTTTGCAGGTATCGAGGAAAACACTTTTCTGGCGCAAAATAATAATGACTTTAAAAACGCTGCGCCGGAAAATGCAAAAATTGCATTTTCGCGTAAATTTAATTGTGCCGTTTTTGTTCACAATTTATTATTTTTCCACACCAAGTGTGTAATTAAATGTTAATGACATTTTAATCATAAATGTGTCAAACGCAAAAGTAATTAAAGGTTGTCGGGACAATTTCCCTTGCTTTAATGTTAAGACAGGTTGTGCGAAGAGTCCATGAAATGCATTTTACTTTCGTTTTATTACTTATTAATTAAGATATTGATAGGTTAGTTACATTGAAACAAAGAACACTTTCTTCATCGCTACTTACTTTACTTGTAGTGTTACCAATGGGTTTTTTGATTAGAATAATAACTATAACGTTATCAGTGTTGCATTGTAAACGTCATATGTAATATGAAGAGAGCAAGAGAATTAGCCTTACCAACAATTATGAAGTTATTTCAAAACTGTATCGATTTTATAGGACCAGGAAAGCGAAAGTTGTTCTAGAAGTTCTGGGTAAACGTGATGCAACACCGGATACATACATAATGTAACATACTTGACATTAGATGAAAAACAAATAAGTAAAATTGACGGTAAATCCCACTAGGATAAATAGAGTTTTAAAGCTTCCCTCGTAAACCGTGGTTGTAAAAATTTTCGAAATAACATTTTTAACGGCTCCCCCTAGTGATCACTCCGCAATAAGAAACAGATACAGATATACAGCCAGTCAATAAAAGCAAGTGCTGACAAGATAAGAGAATTGTGTGATCGTTACGAAGGTGAAAGCTTTTACGATATCTTTGAGGAAGTTCTCCAACAATACCAATAACCTTAATTATGTAGGTGAGTGTTCGAAGAACACATCTAAAAGCCACTTTCGAAGCCTTATATCTTTCAGACGCGTATTACTGAAGCGCAATCAACAACAGGTCCAGATGCTGTACCGTAAAAAACGGCTTGATGATACGGATACATATCGCCGTGGCAATCTGCCAGTGTTTTAAACACACGTTTCGGGCTATTTTGCGGATTTTAGATGTATCAAATATCGGGAAGCCACGTAACAGCTGCAGCACCAGCACTAGCTAGCGATAACACAAAAAATTCCAATTTCTTAGTGACTCATTTTATTTACTCATCCCATCAAATATTTTATGGATAAACCTCAGAGCACAATAAAGACGACTGGAGAGAGAAACGTAATCTAAAGGACACTTTTCTGGAGTCGTTTCATAACGCCAACAACTGAAGCCGACGATTAAAAAACACGGGGCTATTCAGCCAAAATTACGAGCTTGATAGCGACTAAGTGCAACTCAAGATGAAGAGACATATCACATAAAGGACCGGGAAATAATTTTAATTAAAACCTTAGACAGCATGACTGATCCAGCCTGTCTACAGAAATCAACATCAAATCACGACTTTTTTGTCAAATCCTTCTAAATAACATTTATATATAAATTTGTTTTCTAGCGGATAATCTGTAAACCTAGCTACAAAGTAATAATTATAATAATAATTGAAACTTAATTTAGCAAAATTGTAGTTGTAATAATTTTAAAATAATTTAGGGCTTCCTTGATAACATTCGAAATAATTTTAACTGAATCATCTGTTTTTTTTTCCTAATTGATACGATGTTTTTTAAGAGGACGGTGGGCGGAAGTAAATGATGTAGAAATGGACTGGAACACCTTATAGAACTGCATTATTGAAGTACCAGAGGCAAATATAGGAGTGAAAGAGAAGACTAAAAAGGAATACCAAAAAATAAAAAAGAAAGGAAACAATTCTTCAAAAAAAGTAAGAGACAGTGGTTGGATCATAAGGTAGTTGAAGTAGAAAGTGAGAATAGGAACAGTAACGCAAAAGTATTTTACAAAAAGTTTAGTGAAAGAACAAAAATTTACAACCGTAAAGCAAGGCATGTAAAGAACAAAGAAGGAAAAAATTACAGAAAATGATCAATATAAATAGGCACGTGTCAAATACAGATATCTTTTAAGTGACGCAAAATCGATAGGGGAATTTCAGGAGAATGAAGAAGACATGATTGAAGAAAATCCCACAGAAGAACTAACGGAAATAGAAGTCAAAGCCATGCTCAACAAAAGTCGTAATGGGAAAGCTCCCAGAAGGTATAGTGTAAATGCAGAACTTATAAAATAATATATCAGAAAAATAGTACAGGAAAAATTATATAATTAATAATTGCATAAAAGGAAAGTCAACAGTAGACGCCAAATGAATATATAGTTAAACAAATTTTATAGATTTTAAATATGGCTTTGACTCAATCAAGTGAAAAAAATATTGGAAGCGTTAAAAACTGAGGGTAAACAAAAATGAACAAACAAGTGCACATGGAAACGAAAAAAAGAATAATGGTGGTAATTAAAACGCAAAAAGGAGAAAAGAGGAAACTGAGATCAACCAAGGGGTTAGACAGGAAGATGTGCTATGAACTATGATGTTCAACCTAATGTCAGAAGACGTGCTGAGGAACATAAATAAAGGAACATGAATATTAAGAGGAGGACAGTGAACAGCCTATGCGGATGATATAATAATAGCGAAGACTAGAAGGATAATGCAGATATTAAAAGGAATTGTATGAGAAGAAAAGGAACCAGGACTAGAACTCAATGAAGATTAAACGAAAAATAATGAGAATTCTGAAGAAGATTAACT